CATTGATCTCCCAAATGGTGACCTTGATTCTCAACTTCAGCAGTTACTAAAGTGTCAATCCTCCATGTCTGTATACATGCTCTCCCTCTGATTGGAATCTCACCTACTGGCATATTTAGAATATACCTTTTTTAAGATCGGGGAGAAATTAGTTTCTAAAGTAATAATTTCACATTATATAAAGGTAATGGAATCAAAATATGCTTGCAAAATGTATAGGCAGTCTTAGGCTGAATGCAAGAGAATATGCTCCATAAAATGGCAAGAGATTATTATGTTTCTAAAAATAGATCCTATTACAAAAGTCACAAAGATAGCAACAAGGGAAAATAAATGTGAAATAAAACGGCATTTTATGTTTATTTATGGTTTGCAAATATTTTTCCCAATCTATGAGTTGTTTCTTTATGTATTGTTTCTTTGCTGTGCAGACATTTTTTTAGTTTCATAAAATCTCATGGTTTGCAAATATTTTTCCCAATCTATGAGTTGTTTCTTTATGTATTGTTTCTTTCCTGTGTAGACATTTTTTTTAGTTTCATAAAATCTCATTTGTCTATTTTTGCTTTTGTTACCTGTGCTTCTTGGGTCATATTACACATGCAGTGTTACATGTTTTCTTCAGGTTTTTGTTTGAAGGAATGTAATAAGAAAAGATATACAGGTACTCAGGTCCCAGTACATAAAGTTAAAGATTTTCCACAGCCAATTTTTTACAAAGGAAACTAGCAGGCTTATAAACCCAAAATACTCTGTCTCACCAATAATGAAATAATTGCAAAGTAAAGTTCTTTAAAATTCCCCTTATGATCTATCAAATAAAATTTATTTTCATAGAAATACCAACTTGAGAGGGGAAACTAAAATGTAAGTCTCATGAACAGCTACTGTCTGGAGATAGCTGCAAGCAATACACTACTGCAGATCTTTCTAAAGAATACAGAAAGACACTTAAATACACCCTACACTAAATTCATTTTTTAATTCACTTTTTAGAATGCCCTCATACACTGCATATAAATAATACTCTACTTTCCTCCTCCCTTCACTGCAAAACTCTTTGGCTATATTCTGATGTTATTGGAACCAATTTATGCCACCAATTCTTAATTCAGTCTCATCTATTCCCATCACTTTATTTTCAACAGTGATCCTTCATCACTTCAACAGACTATTCTCTTTTTAACATAGCAAGTAAATTTATTCTTCAACCAAGCAAAATGCACAACAGTCTCTCAACGCTCATGTAGGGTGATTTGGCTCTCAGGTGATCTCAGATAAATAGATTTGGTGTCTATCCTCTCTGAGATTCTCCTGCAGTGTCTTCTGAGCTCTCTGACTCACCTGGTTGGGGTCTGTGAGTGGAAGAACTCCTTGTGAAAATGTGAACTCTCGCCTTAATAGTGGATTATGGAGGCTGAAGCTCTGTCTCAGACAAGACAGAAGGAAGGAGTGAAGCATCAGTCCCCTAACCACACTTAGGACTCCAAAAGAATCATCCATGTCCAGTCCAGCCCAAGGCTGCACACACAGGACACACAGGTAGAAAATAACAGAGGAGATATTTAGTTTTTTATCCCTGATCATTAGGCATATTACCCTGTTGTTACTCCAGCTCCTGAGCACCTGATTTCCCTTGTGGACACTGGTCTGGGGAAAAAAGAAAATGTTCCAGTTAATTCTCTATTCTCGAGAGACCAGGTTAGATGTCAAGTGAATCTGATATTAAACTGCCTCTCTGTGGACATTCCTGCCTTCCAGAAGACTGATATTCTTAGCACTTTTGCTCAACACTGAGTTAAACTTTTCTTCAAAATATAAGACAGAAAATGAACCCAGAACCTCCCTGTGTGGGTCAGCCTTGCAGTGCATCACCTTTAACACTGCAACAATATTCAACCCCCATCTGTCCATTTCTTAAGGAGTTGTTTTCTTATTATTGACCTGTTTAAGTTTCTTATGTATTTTAGATATTAGCTCTTTTCCAGATGTATGGTCATAAATACTTTTCCCAATCTGTAAGTTGTTCCCTTGCTGTGCAAAAACATTTTACTTTCATAAAATCTCATTTGTTTCTGTTACCTGTGGTTTTTTGGGGGGGTCATATTCAAATAAACATTTTTCAGAACAATGTTGTAGAGCTTTTCCCATGTTTTCTTCTAGTAATTTTATAGTTTCAGGTATTACATTTAAATTTTCATTTATTTTGAGATGGTCCTTGTAAATGGTATGAGCTAAGTGTTGAATTTTATTCTGTATGTGAATAGTCAGTTTCTGTATAATGAAAGATTTTAAAGATGGCACAAATAAGTGGAAAGATAGCCCAGGTTCATGGATTGCAAGAATACATGTGATAATAGAAATCTCATCTGTGTGCTTGAAAGAGAGCACTTTGATAAGGTCTAATCACACAACAACTACCTTTCCCCAGACCATCAGCTCCTCAGGGTGCTGGACACTCAGGTGTTTTCCCTATGCATTTTTCAGAGTGATACAGGATCTGAACCATGACTGCACTATGGCTTCAGTTTTGCAGGGTGTTATCATTACCACTTTGCCACTGGCTGGCCTCAAAGATGATCTTAATGATGATAAAACAAATTTTAAATTATACATTGTGTCACTACATAAACAATTATTTTTCATGTTGTCCATTCATTCATTGGCATGATGATTAAGGTAGGCAGATCCCATGTGACCAGCTGTGAGAATTCAAGTCCCAGACCCAGAAGCTTAAAAAACACACCGGGCTCATGTGTGTATATACCACAAATCCCAAGAGCAGAATGGAAGAGAAGAAATTGCATCATGGCCATCTCCCTGGGAAGTGATTGTTGTTGTTTTTTGTTTGTTTGTTTTGTTTTGTTTTGGAGAGATTTTTGCTATAGGACGCCTGCACTTGCCAGAAAGACAGAGAAAGAGAGAGAGTCAGAAAGCGAGAAATCACCCCCCAGGGGGGATGGCCACTCTGCAATCCCTTCTCCTCCATTCTCCTCTTGGGATCTTCACACACACACACACACACACACACACGCACCCAGTGTGAGTTTAAGCCACCGGGCCTGGGACTCAAACCGCAGTCAACTACATGAGAGTCCAACGACATAGCCATTACACCATCTGCTGGTTCCTTAATTGTCTGATTCTAAAGTCCTTTTGATTAAATTTAATCAAAATCATCTTCCCATATAGACTCCACTTGGAGGGCACTTGTCTTTGGTAATCAGATTTTATCCATAACTATTGTAGTCGCTGCGAATGCTGAGCTGAAAAAGAAACATGATCTTTGAGACCAGCAGGCAGCCTGGCAGTTAAGGTACTGAATTTCTACATGGCCAACTGCAGTTCGAGTCCTGAACCCGGCACTGGCTATGTGTGCATGCATTCCCAAAATCCCAAGGGAAGAAAGAAAGAGAAAGGATTGTGGTGTGGTTGCCTGCCCTTCTCACTTTTCCTCATTCTGTCTCTGTCTGTCTCTCTCTGATAAACGTGCATGCCCTATGACAAGAAGAAAAAAGAAACATGATCGTAATGAGCAGATTAAAGTCCAATGACCACAAAGTCCATAAAACACATGAGTGTGTGAGAGTCTATATTATCAGAGAGAGCAGGTAGGATCATGACAGGGAAAGGAATGATGAATATCATGGATTTAAGTTTTCTTCTACAATAAAATTATATAAAGACCTCATTGCAACATGTAGGATTTTTTCCCCACATAGGATTAGCACAATTTAGAACTATGTTTTAGTAAAACAAAACAATACTCACTATAATATACATTTGAAAAGAAATTATTCTTAAGAAATCCATGGTTCTTGGGAACCAGCAGTTAGCGTAATGGCTATGTCGCTGGACTCCCACGTAGTCGACCGCGGTTCGTGTCCC